TTTTAAAGAAATGCTCTAGAATCACAGTGGAGAATAAAGATGTTGGCCCCTGGTTGGGGTTGGCTCCTTAAGTGAGGCTGGCTAGCTGGAGACTCTGTTTCCAAGTAGGGAGTGAGCCAACCTACAGAGTGCCTATTTCGCCTTTTCTTCCTACAGCATCCATCTCTGTCTGCTTCCTGGCTGTGGATACAGTGTGATCAGCTGCTTCATGTACCTGCTGCCATGACAGACTGTACCTTCAAACTGTGAGCCCCCAATTTTTTCCTTCTCTAAGTTGCTTTTGCCAGGTATTTTGTCATAGCAGTAAGAAAAGTAACTATTGCAAATGTAACTGAGATACAAGGAGAGAATACGGGACGGAAAAACCATCCAGAAGAACAGAAAAAATTTTGAGTCCTGTGAAATCCCATAATCTCAGTGTATCAAAATGTTCTGGTATGGGTAGTCATCCTTAAGAACCTATCTTTCAAGGTATTAGCTTTTATCTGGCCTGGTTGCATGTGTCACACACAGAAAAGCACTTGGTATCTTCTGCAGATCTTCAAACAGCCTCCGTACTTTGTCATTCTAGCATCAATGTAGACATGCTCAGGATTAAAGCACTGTAGTGCTGGATACAGAAATATTTAGTATTATCCCAAGAACCACCAAGCTGGAAAGACAGCTGGCTGGAATGGCTAGCATACATTTTGTTGCTCCATCTAGTTAATTCCCTTTCCATATACCTTCTCACTTCCTCTACCCCTCAAGAAAGAAGTTACTCAGAGGATCCTGGGTATACTCCTGCTCCCTAAGGCGGCAGATTTCACGATGTAAATGTAACAACAGGAAAAATATGCTCATGTTTCAAAGCTGGATGATGCATATTGGTGAGATGGAGTAAGGGTCATGTATATGTGAGAGTGAAAGTGTGTTTGTTTTCTATTGTTGCTGTAGGAAAGGAGCATGAAAGACTTTTTTGAAAAGACTTTGAATGTTGAGGGCTGGAGAGATGGCCCAGAAGTTGAGAGCACTGGCTGCTCTTCCAGAGGACCCAGGTTTAGTTCCTAGAACCCATATGACAGCTAACAGCTAACTCCAGTTCTAAAGTATCCAATACCTTATTTTGGCCTACATGGTCATTGCATGACGTGAGTGCATGTATATACATGCAGGCAAAACATTGAGACACATAAAAAAAATACAATTTTTTGAATACTTCTATATATTGTCATTTTATAAAAATACTAATAAATACTAATAAACCCACACTCTCATACACATAAAATTTACTTGAAAATATTTTTAAATGAAAAGAAATTGTAAAAATAAGAATGTTCCAAAATGCATTCACTTGACTTGGATTAATCTTTCAGCATTTTATCCCATTTGAGCTCTCTCTCTCTCTCTGTCTCTGTCTCTCTCCCTCTCCCTCTCCCTCCCCCTCCCCTTCTCCTTCTCCCTTTCATTTATATAATTCTTGAGACTAAGCTGCATATACCATGGCCTGTACCCCTAAATAGTTCAGTGTGTCATCCCCAAGAATACGAGTTTATTTTATATGACTGTAGCAAGGTCAGCAAACTTTTCTATAAGGAGCCAGATGTAGTATTTTAGGTTTTGTGAGCCGTGCAAGATCTCCTCCTTTGTTCTCTATACAACCATTCACAGTTCAAGCTCAAAGGTAATAGGTTGTGTATACTTATCCACCGTGATACATTAATCTTATTTAATACCACTGAGTCTACCTTGTCCATCTTCCAATTTTGTGAATTGGCCCAGGAATATCTTCTAGAGCATCTTCTCATCTCATTCAGAATCTAGTCTAGGACCAGGTGTTGTATTTGTCACAAACCTTCAGTAATCTTTACAGTGAACCATTTCCTTGGCTTGATTTTTACTCTTGCAATAACGACATATTTATAAAATATATGCCCTTTGTGGGGAATGGAGAGATGGCTCAGGGGTTAAGAACACTGGTTGTTCTTGCAGAAGACCCGGGTTCAAATCCCAGCACCCACATGGCAGCTAACAACTGTCCCAGGGGTCCAATAGCCTCTTCTGACCTACATGGGCATTGCATGACATGGGTGCACTTACCTACATGCAGGCAATACATGCATACACACGCAAATACATAAGATAAAAATAATAAAATAAAAAATATGTCCTTTGTTTTTAATAGAGCATCTCTATGTGTGTTCTCTGCATCCTGTGTAAATGATATTGAATCCTCTGATATCTCATTTGGAGACAGCATGTTTATCTGCCCATCATTAATAGTGTGGATTTTTTTCAGCTGTTCATGTGTCTGATCTCTCTCTGATATGGTTACTGTGTTCTTCCCTGGGTGTAGTTTCACTGGAATTGTTAGTTATACTGGGAGTGGAATCGGAAGGAAGATGCTAAATGACTGTGTGGTGTGGTGTGGGCTTGTTGTTGTAGGTTAAACTACTCTGTCCTGAACAATTGCTGAGCAGTTGGAACTGGTGTTAAGACACAGTGTGTGGCTAGGCCAATCTCTTTGAGAATTTAAAATAAATTTATTTTATACAGCTCTGCTTAGAAATTTCTCCCACTCCGTGGGTCACAAAGTCAAGGAAAAAGACATGGATATTAAAAAGGTACTTGTAGTGTGTGTGTGTCACAGAAATGGAAGGGAGCGAGAGCAATCAGAATGCATTATATACATGTGTGAAATTTGTCAAAAAGAAAATTTAATTAACACAAAAAGAAAATAAGATTTAAGTCATCTATTTCTCATTGTGTATTACAGACATACATTGGTCTGAACCCAAATATTTATATCCAGTTGATCTGGAGTTGGACACATCATTAAACTGCCACTGATGTTCCCTAGATGCCTTTATTGTGCAACTAGGGTCAAGAACCATTGCTTAATTACTTAGTAGACTAGAATGAAGAACCAAGAGACTAATATTGACTATGATGCATCTCATTTGTTCCATATAGATATCAATCCAACTAATATATCCTAGAAATGAAATTATTATGTTTAAACATACACATGAATAGACCTATAGTTAGTAATTGTCAACTTTCTCCTTTGTTCATTCCTAGGTATGAGCTCTGATCACCAACCATCTGTCAGGCTAAAGACTTAAAAGGGTATAGTGCATTCATGATAATACCAAAGGCATTTTCTCTTGCCCCTTAATTATTATTGTTTCTTTTTCTTTGTCTTCATCTTTGTCTTGACAGTGTCTCACTATGTATCCCAGGCTGGCTTTGAACTCATGATCCTCCTGCCTTAGCCTCCCAAGTGCTAGGATTACTGGCAGGTACCACCATCCCCAGCATAAACATATTTTCTAAAGGCATTTCATTTCTAAAGGTAGTTATTTCAAACATGAATTCTTTTTCAATATTTTATTTATTATTTTCATTTTATGTGTATGAGTGTATTGCCTGCATGGATGTAAGTGTATCTGTGTTATGCAGTGCCCATAGAGGTCAGGAGAGGGCGTCGGATCCCCTAGAAATGGAATTACAGATGGTTGATAGCCAGTGCTGTTAACTGCTGAGCCATCTTTTCAGTCCCTCAACCATGAATTCTTAATATTGCTAAAGTAATTTGAGCCCAAGTATGGCAATAGGTAACAAATCAAACACAAATGAAGAGATTTAGCTTATCAAATAATAAAATAAAAAGTCGAATATTTGATACAAATATAAGAAATGAGGTCAATGTATTTTTAATTGCATTCAGCTATACATCATACTGGAGGTGTAAATCAGAAAGGCCCAAAATATGATTCTTCTGGAGGGCCTGGCGCTAATCTTCACTTCAGTCTGTCTGCACATAGATGCTGAAAGTAGTTCTCTGAGACATGGTTATTCCCAACTTCTACTCCTACTCAGAGCACTTTTCATTGTAAACTCCACAAGTTAGAAAAGGGGTTCACTTGAGAATACTCATTACATTTCCTTTCTTCTCTCGTAAACAATTGTCCTTTGGTTTGAGATTGCTGTGAATGGGCAGAACAGAACCAGGATAATCCTTCCTGTTTGCTATCAGTTTTCTTTTCCTTACACTTTGCTAGCTCCTCAAAGGAAGGGGGTGTACCAAAGAATAGAAGCTGTGGAAATTGAGAGAAAGAGAAAGCAAGAGAGAAAAGTGTTGAGGAAAAAGGTAAACGTGTGTGTGTGTGTGTGTGTGTACTTGCATGTGCATGCACACTAAATGAAGGGAGGCCTCTTCATTGATACCAGTGTGCCAGAGCCAGAGCTTTAAGACAGGTGATCTTTACACACCATATAGGTCAATATCTGTCTTTGTTTTACAGACAGGGACATCAAATACAAGAAGGACTATAAGATTTATGAAAGTGGCACAAGTTAGGGACACAGCTGGATCAGAGGACATAGGTGTCAACCATCACTTTTTTCTGTAAGGTGTTTTCCTAAGACTGTTCATGGTGTCTCATCCAGAGCATAAGGGAGGAAGGAATAGCCTTCTGTGTCCTTCTCACCACTCAACCACATGACTCAGAACTTGAAAGGACATTTTAATGAAGTCTAATAGAGGGTTTTTTTGGGAGGGGGCAAGGAAGGAATCTAAATATTCTATAGATGAGGACAGGGAAAACAAGCATTATACTAAGAAACAATTAACTTTTTACTTACTCATAGCTCAAGGCATAAACAAATCTTTGAACTTCCCAACGCAAGGTTATAAGAAGGGGAGAGTTATAACACTTCTGATAATTAAATGGCATCCTAAGAGATCCATCACATCTTCAGAGGCCACATCACAAGACCACTAACAGTGACATTAATGTGCGTTGGTAACACTTAGCAATCTGGATGTTTAATACGCTTTAGCCATTTGTTCCAGGTCACCAGAGGTTAACAAGTCAGCACTGAATATAAACATCATTGAATTTTATTAGGCTAAATTACTAGTTTGAAAGCAAGGACAAAGTCTCGTGAATAATCTTTAATTTCTTCTAGGAGCAATGCAGTGCATGCTGGATGAGGATAAATATGTTGATACTCACTGTTGTGTTTGAAGGGCCTTATGGTTGCACCTGAGAGCCGGGCCCCAAGAATTATAGATGTGTGGTTTAACTCGTCACTTAAAATGAGACAGCCCTGTGCGGAAAACAAACACATAGAAAACAAGCCAATGGATAATAAAAGAAAGACAACTTGTGGGAATTAGCAGACACTAAAACCTATGATAAGTTAAAACTCTGTTTAATATGAAAAGATTGAGTTTAAGCTGGTAATTATATGGCCATAATCCTATATAGCTTCTAGGTCATGCAGATGGGAACTATTTTTAAGATGTTACATCTTTACTGGAACATTTGCAAGTAATTTTCAACAAAGAAGTTCATCTGGGAGATCTTGTTTAGCACCAGCAAGAGTGTACGGGTTTGGTCTTTGACAGGAAAAATGATAATTTGGGGGAGAGTTATGAGCTAGCTAGGGTACCTGGATCTATACGAGTTTATTTGGGATGGCTTTCATTATTCCTTCTGACAGACAAAGGCTTACATCCCATGGAGACAGACATACAGTGCTTTATAGTTTAAAACTTTGATCTCATACCAGGTGTGGTGGTGCATGCCTTTAATCTCAGCACTTGGGAGGCAGAGGCAGGCAGATCTCTGAGTTCCAGCATGGTCTACATAATGTGTTCCAGGCCAAGTAGAACACATTGAGAGACCCTGTCACAAACAAACAAACAAACAAACACAAAAACAAAAAACCTCAACCCCCCACTTTGAATTTTGAAAAATATTGATGGAAGTAACTGCGAAGTGAGTGGAAAAATTTGCTGCTCATAAATTATTGCTTAAATTTTTTTCTTTTTAAAATTAAAATGCATAAATGATAGAACTGTTCAATAATATAAAAATCGGAGACAAATTATGGTTCACCTTTGTCTTCTGTAATCACTTGGAATTGAGTTCTTTATATTTTAGTAATCTCACATATGATGTGTTTTAAGTTTTTGAGGCTACAGCTAGCAAAATTCTCTTACTTCTCCAATGAAGAATGTGTGTGTCTATGATTTTTCTTTTGTATCATCTGAGAATTATTGGAAACTTTATGATACCTCGCCTCTGTATTCTTTGGCTTAATAACTTTTATAAAGAGGGTGGCGATTGCATACAAGAAGTTCCATATTTATATAGCATCATCTAATATATCATTCAAACTAAAATTCCCCCAACTGTTTTAATATTAAGCTTTTATCTTCATTTTTCAATATTGAATCCAATCTAAGGTGATATATCACACTGAGTTGTAATTAGATTTTTAAAAACATAAATCTGATTATCACACTTGGTTACTTAAAACAACTAACTGACTTCCCATTTTCTCAGCAACATCTTTAAACACTCATTCCTGTTCTTTTCTTTGACCATGATCTGTGTTTTGGTTTCTCCAACCTCTGTGCTGTGCACATGCTGCTCCTTCTTCCTTGTTCTAAGACACAGTCTGTTCAGTCATTAATGTTGTGTTCTCCTGACTCTGGGTATAGGCAACACCCACTGTCTCAAGAAGAGCTTGCAAAAGGCAACACTTGTCTTCCCTCATATCTGTGTGTATCTATTCTATAGTACTCATCCAATTTTATTTAGTATTTTGTTCATACACTACACTTTTTTTAACTTAAAAAATATTTATTATGTTCTCGCTCATATGTGGCTCCTAGCACCAAATCCTTTTAAATTTCAGGTCCTTTTAATAAGATGATACTATACAGCAGTCCCTTCTGCATGAAATAATTACCATCATCACAACTTTGGCTGAGCCTGATCGCTAAACAGTCATAATTGGGCTTGTTGATGGTTGTGCTCATTCATTAAAGGAGAGCCAAGCAGG